CCGCAAAGTCGTAAGACCATGTATGGGTGCTGGCGCCTATCCAGTGCCGGAAGGTCAAGGAAGTTGGTGACTTGGTAACAGGAGAGCCGACGACCGAAGTCTCGATGAGCGGCGATCATGACTATAACGGTCCTAAGATAGCGAAATTCCTTCTCAGATAAGTTTCGAACTGCATGAAAGGCGTAAAATCTGGGCACTGTCTCGAAAAGAGGCTCGGTGAAATAGACGTCTGTGAAGATGTGAACTACCTACACCTAGATAGAAAGACCCTATGAAGCTTCACTATTCCCTGGGATTGTGTTTGGGTCTTTCCTGCGCAGCTTGGGTGGAAGACAAAGAAGGCCTCCTTCCGGAGGGGCCCGAGCTGTCAGTAAGATACCACTCTAGAAGAGCTAGAATTCTAGCCTTGTGTCAGGACCTACGGGCTAAAGGACAGTCTCAGGTAGACAGTTTCTATAGGATGTAGGGCTCCCAAAAGGTAACGGAGGCGTGCAAATGTTTCCTCAGGCCGAACGGAGATTGGCCCTCGAGTGCAAAGGTAGAAGGGAGCTTGACTGCAAGACCTACCCATCGAGCAGGGACAAAAGTCGGCCTTAGTGATCCGACGGTGCCAAATGGAAGGGCCGTTGCTCAACGGATAAAAGTTACTCTAGGGATAATAGGCTGATCTTCCCCAAGAGAGGAGAAATCGACCACATTAAAATTACCTTCTGGGGAGGTCCGTTTGATATCAAAAAACTGCTTAGCAACAGTCGGACAAGTGGGGAATGTTGGACCAACCAGAAAATTTTGGGTAAAGCCGGATCTAAGTGTTGGCTAGGTAAGCGTCATGTAGTAAGAGGAGTAGTTATGAACCCTGTAGACCATCCCCATGGGGGTGGTGAAGGGAGAACCCAAATTGGTAGAAAAAACCCACAACCCCTTGGGGTTATCCTGCACTTGGAAGCAGAAGTAGCTAAAGGATGGTGTGCAATATCGGTCAGCCATAGACCCTCAGTTACTAGATCTAATCCTCCACGAAAAGTAAGAAATTTCACATATTTTGACCAATTCAAGGTGAAAAATGAGGTTGCTCCCTTGGCTAATTAAATTAAATGGAAAAAATAGAGGGTAGAAAATCTGTTGATAAGTTAACCTGTTTCCGAGGTATCTATTCATACTAGAATACCTTGTTTTGACTGTATCACACTATATATCATTTGATAATCCACAAAATTCTTCTAACTTTGGTTCAAATAAAATTTCAAATGGAGAAAATCTAAAGATATTTATTGCTAGATAGATCTCGCCCACAACCGGCCCAAAACAAGAGGGACCTTTCCCTCTAGGGATAGGAAAATCATGATTGGGATAGCGGACCAAAAGCTATGGAACTTGGGTATGGGTCTTTGGAATGGCTTTATCTTTTTATTTATTATTATCGTGAATGATGGAATCATTACAAATAGTATGCCCCCAGCCCATCCGCGTATTTTTTTGTTTAACGCTCCATAACTCTTTCTCAGCCAGGCTTGGGCAGAATAGCAGAGCAAGTACAAGTATTAGTAGTATAATAAAAATGCCTTCCTCGTCATTAATATGTTTGCTTGCGGTAATTGTGAACTCTCGAGAGAATCGATGACTGCATTTGCCCACCGGGTTTTATTCACTTGCAAATTCCACCTCAATTAGTTAAAAGAATGAAATTAGCTGATATTATGACGATACTAGGTAGTATAGATATCATTATGGGAGAAGTTGCCACGAACAAGAACTACAAGCTACCCAGCTCTTGGCTTGGTAAGGCACTTGGGCATAGATCCATTTTTGTACTAATACAAATGTGCACTATCAGGAGCATCTTCTTGCGAGTCTGCCTAGCTATTAGGAAGTAGGGTCTTATAAATTCGAATATATCCATCTTAGTTATCGGAGTAAGTACCCATAGATGAACTCTTTGCTAAGAGCATTTTTTTTTTTTAAGCTTTCCTGGCCTAGGGTTTCGATTTTTAGATGGGAAGCCTACCAACTGGCTTAAGGGGACAAGACCCATATTCACTTGATTGAACAAAACAAGACCTGGGTTGACATCCATAAAGCAATTCCAATAAATAAAAAGTTTGGCCACTCAGGGATAGACTTTATTCCTCAGTGTCTCAAAAATGCACCACCTCTTCGCTCAGCTTGGATGAGCTGACCTTTCTTTTACAATACTGAAATTTGCGCTTTTGCATTCCATAATGGAAAGAACCTCTTCGTTTGACTCTCTTATACAATAAGTAGGGACCAAAGCTGTACCCTAAGGCGGTCTGACTCAAAGAAAAGAAAGAAAATGGGAAAGATTGATTCTTGGCAGAGTGACCCACTTTATACCCATCTGCCTATACGGGACAAAGTCCTCACTTTAGGAAGAAATCCTGACTTGGGAGCTAAGCTCGGATCATAGGTGGGCGGACCTTTACTCTTACTAAATTCTATTTCATATTTGTGCAGCCGCTCTAACTTCTATTGAGAGGCCCTT